TTATAAAATTATAAAGTATATAAATCATAAAAAAATTCTAATAGAAAATACACTCTTGTAATTTTTTTTAAAAAAGGTAATAATATCAAAGATAGATATAAGATTGAAATAGAATATCTATTATAAAATACAAAGAAATTAGAAATTATTGAACTAAAATAAGAATACAAAAAAGTGTTGAAAAAAAAAATTAAAAAGACCTCAATTTTACTTCTATATATATTATTTAATTAAAAAGATACATAGCAATTTTCTATAAATCATCCAACACATGTTGAACTTGCAAGATATATGTCTAACTTATAAAGGAAGTTTCTAATATGTGTACCATATGACCAACTTATAAATCAAGTGGTCAACATGTGCAATACATGGCCAATTTTTGGCTATATTTTTAGCTTATCAATTATCTATATATACAAATAAAGTCAAATATATGTCTACAAAGCTTCTATAGAGTTTTTTTATAAGATATTATCAAATTTATTTATTTTTATTTCTATCTAATTTTTCTTATCTTCATAATTATTAAGGCCAATATTGTTGTTTGTAGCACTATCTTTAGGTTATACTTTGTATAACTTAGTATCAAATAAAGTCAAAAAAATATAATCTTTTGACTTTGAATTTTTCTCACATATGTCAATATATAATCTTGATTCTTATAAATTGTCATATGTAATTCTTACATGCAAAATTAGTAATTTTAGAAAATATATTTGACAAATCAAACTTTGTACAAAAGAATAATTAGAAACTGAAGAAAGAAGATACATAAGCAATATGTATTGATCTTTGCTTATATTATATAAATATCATATGATTTGTATCAATAATTATATATGTATGTATACATATAATTTTTGTATTGCAATAAAGAAATTACATTAATTAAATACTATATTTTGTATTTAAAATGATTACATTTATTAGTATTTTATATGTAAAAATAAAATTAATCTTTTGAAAAAAATAAAAATATCTTGATTAAATTTATCTTGTAAAATTGTTGATAACAATAAAATAATGCAAGATATCAATGGCTTTGTGGCAATTGCTATTGTGAACTTTCAAAGAATCTCTAACTTCAAATTTAATCTCAAATCTGATAGACAAAATTACAGGTTTATTTATGCATATGGTATATATATATATATATATATATATATATATATTATACAATTAAAATATTAGCAGTAGTTTACTAAAACTATATATTTTAATTAGCATTTCATATATTTTAACCAAGATCTTTTTATCTTTTATTCTTTGTTCTTTGTTTTGAAGCTTATTACAGGATATATTCAACAAATTCAATTTTCTAAAAATAAAAAATCATTTTAGTTAATATAGCATACAAAAAAATGTAAGAATTTTGAAAACATTGAGATAAGTATATGCATTTAAAAATTGTACATAGTCACATGTATTCTAGAATATTTTCTAGAAAATAATTTTGTAATTTTTTAAAATTTCTAATATCAAAAATAATTTTTTTTTATGCTTTTAGTATTATTTCAGGTAGCATTAGTTTATCTTAGATACTCTCTAAACCAGTTTTAAGTGATTTAAAGAAATTTCATAAAAATATCCTACAGTTCAACAACTTCTACAACTATCAAAGTTGTATATTAAGTGCATTTTACACATAATAAATTCAAGCATAACTAAAACTTTTTAATTTTTATTAGCTTATTCAACTCATTTGCTGCATTTATTTCTGTATCTATCTTTCCCAAGTAAACTTCATCACTTATTATAAACTCCAAAAATATAATTATGTCTAATATTTTTTATTTTCTTTAGAATAGTATGTTTGAAAAAATTTAATCTTTTAACTTTTTTTATTCTTAAAGTATCACAATGCTTAATTATGTACAAATCTAAACTTATTGATAGGCCTTCTCAACCATACCACTTCTTTAAGATGAATTTATTGACCATTTACTCTCTTCCTATGAATGAAAGTGATATTGTTGGCAATGGAATTAATTTCTAACTAAGTTATCTACTAATCAATACAACAACATAATCCAGACTTCACTTTTTTTATTCGATTTTCTAATAAAATTAACATAAATAAATTATGTAAAAATATTTCTTACTTTTTTTATACTAAACATGATGTAAAAATTTACATTATACTTTGTTACTTCTCAATATATATATATATATATATATATATATATATATAAATATATATTTTAATAAATATTTTTATTATGCTTACAACATATAAGATATTTAATCTAGTACTCACTATTGAATGATTTCTTACTACACTTGCATATAAGATACTAGAGATATACTCTCTTTTATCTTTATTGCTTATACATTGTATTGATGATAAATTAAAATAAGATGTCAATCGAATAAAAATTTATTTTATTATTTACAAAAAAAATAGTATTTTTTAGTATAAAATATTTTATATATTAACTCTATATCTCTTACAATATATATATATATATATATATATGAATACATAGAACTTTCTCTGCAATTCTTGGATTCTTAAAATTAAAATATCTATTTAATAATAGTTTTATATAATTAAAATTTAAAAATAAAATAAAATAAATAATATTTTTTCAACCAAGAAATTTTTAACAATATAATTAAAATAATAAATTATCATGTAAATTTTTTTATTCTAATATTTTGAAATACATATAAGAAGCAAACTCACTTTTAATGTTTTTTTGCTTCATAACAAAGCCAAAAACAATTTTTGTATGGTTGTAGATAATTAAATTTTAAAAAATATAATGGTTCTTTTAATCTGAATATAAGGTTCTCTTCTCAAGTCCTCTAAAGCTTTCGATCTAGTATAAAAAATTCTTCACATTACTTCTATAGAAAAAAGAAGAAAAAAAGAAAAAAAATATATATATATATATTTATTTATTTATTCTAATGTCAATTTATCTTATGAAAATATTACTAATAAATAAAAAATAGAAGTAATATTTTTTACAAGAAAAACTTTTGTTGGTAGTTTTGTATTTTTTATACACACATCCTTTAACTACTAATATAGCCTAAGATCTTACTTTGTCTATTTTAAAGAGCCATTTACTTATTCTATACATCTACTTACTTTCTAGTAATTACATTATATCTTGTATTTATTTTTTGTAAAGAGAAGACATCTCTTTATTTATTTTTTTCTTTAATTAATTTTTTTATTGCATAGTTTTTCTAAATGTAGAAGATTTATTATTTTGTAACTAGAGTATGTAATATTATATTTAGAAAATTAATTATTTTAAGAATATTTAATTTTTTAGTAAACTTTGTAGTTTTAAGTATGTCTCCAGAACTAACTATCTCAAGTGTATTGAAATCTAAGATCTTTTTAAAATTACATGAAGGTGTAGGTACATCAGCAGCTACATCAAGAATTCTATGTGTAATCTTTTTTTTTATGCATAAACTATTACTTTTAAACTTAGAACTTTCATCAAAAGTTACATCTCTACTTGCAATCATCTAACTTATACTTGGATTCTATATTTTGTATCATTCTATAGAATTTTTATAATGCAGAAAGATATGAGATCTATTTTTGATTTTTTATTGCTAAATATGAATATAAATAAGATATTTAAAGATTATAAGCCTAAAATAGTACATAAGTCTATAACTTTAAATCTTCTTATATTTATTGTATTCAATAGAATTTTATTAAGGTGTTTAAATCATCTACTTCACTAATACTTTCTTTTATGTACAACATGTATGTTTGCTACTTTAAAAATAATTAATTCATCAATATACATATTTTGTTATATATATATATATATATATATATATATATATATTGCTTTGCATATTATTAGTATTTATTATATTATTACAAGAAAAAATTAAACAAATAAATATTCTTACTAATAGTAAAATTTTAAAATATAATATTATTACAATCTTAATTTTTTGTATAGTTTTTATCTGATTAAAAATATCTTTTAAATTACTTATTGATAGTAGAATGTTTATTATATTGATTTTTAAATCAATTTAAGGTTAATTTTTTTTTTCGAAATTATGGTAATCAATTTGTAATTTATATCGTAAATCATATTCAAACCATAAATTAATTTTTATCAATTCGTGGTTGTGGAAGTCATGGTTTTTTTTTTTCTTTAAATATATTTAATATTGCATGAACTTCAAGTGACTTGTAAAATTTGGTTAGTTCAAGGAGAAAGGCAATATCATTATGTTGGTTTTGTAATTTATATATTGATGCAATATATTAATTGTGTGCAAGGAATACAACTATAAAGAAACTATTTCAAATTGGCACACAAAGAGGATAAATCTTTGTAGCAAATATTCATTCATATTAAAATTTTAGATAAATCTAAAAACTTGTGCCATGCATGTTTACCTTGGATATCTAATGAAAATGAAGGTAATATGTTCAAGTAAAGATACTTTTGCTTAAAAAAGTATTACTTATGTATAGTATTTTTTGTATAAATGAGTGCCAACTCCTTGGTTCAAATCCAAGATTCTAGTTATGTAAGGGTCCACAATTTTATATATACCATGCACCTAGTTATTTCCTATCCATCTAAAAAAATTAAATAAAGATATGGAGAAGGATTCTACTGCTACGTATTGTCACCATATTTAAAGACAATAGGTGAAAAATAAAAATAATAAAATCCAAAAATACCCAATATATAAAAATTTCACAACAATTTTCATCCGAAAATCAGCAATTCGCAGGTAGTTTCACAAAAACCCTAATTTCTATCAATAGACATTCAATCCTTTGTGAAGATTCTTTCACTGTATGTACTATCCGTTCGACGAAACAAAGAGTTTCAACGAGAGTTTCTTCTGTAGACAAGTTCAGATGTTTGTGACTGTCCCAGTGATGATTGAAGGTTTCATCTGAAAAAATTGCTGTTGACAGTTTTTTCCCTCGCCAGTGTATTTAAGGAATCACAACAGAACTTGTTAAATTAATTTATGCAACATAAACTTACTAAATAGGAAATCTGGACGAAAATCTATTTGAAATTCACATAAGTAGTTGCTGCTGTTTGGAACTTCGTCCCGGAATTAGGGAGTGTAATTCGACAACAATGTCTCAGGATGTCCAGTTCTGTCACTAACATGGAGGAACTAAACAATTCTTTAGCCCCACTGGTCTCTCCTCAAATGGAAAAACATGGGCAAAATCAATAACTACCTGTAAGTAAATATCAATGAACCTCTTGTACATTACATTCCTATCTCAAAAACCTAAATTCTCTCCTGTGTGTACCTGTTGAAACAGCAACTTGAGTTGCACCACTCGAGCTACAAAAAACTATTCAGTTTAACGACTGTAAATGACCTCTTTGAATGACCAGAGTGCGAGATAGTTGCTTTCCGATCAATTTGGAAAACAGGGCTGCCATCAGAAAGCAAACTTGAGTGCAATTCTCATCTTTAGCCGCTGCTTCGCATTGCCAAATTTTCATGTTCTTTAGTCTGGTGTCGTCGATCAAGGCTCCCAGAATTTGAAGGGATCGCTTGCATACAGTGAACGGTCTTGGATCTCAAGGTTGGCTACGTGTAAATCGATTGTCCTCGCTTGCACACACTTAACCAACAGAAGAAGAGCAGGGAGCACCCACCAGGTGTCTTCCTCACTGCAGAAAGCATTCACATGCCATGCATTCTTCCATCATAATGCATTTGTGTAAAAACCAAGATCACTAACTTTCAACAAGCATGACATCTATGCACATTGTATTAGAAGGGCTATGGAAAAGAGAACATAAAATCTGTGAGGTGTAGAATTACTTACGATTTGATGAACCTAGGATGTATATGATTTGCATGAAGAGCTACTCCCATGTCGTAATGAAGAAACCCAATTGTCAATGCCACCAGCTGCACGCACCACCAAATCCGCAGAAACTGAAAATCTATTACGACCAATAACCACTGACATTGATTGTAGGAAGGAACACTTTAGGAGGTGAGTTATTTTGTCATAGAATGACTGAATTTTATTGCCCAGTAAGAGGTCTAGAGTAAGAGCTACTTACCACATTTACAATGGACGATACGTTCCAAAGAGCATATACACGCGCCAGACCCGCTGACCTCTTGGAACCATGACTGAACAAGGCGTTCAGCCCAGCTGCACAAGGTAAGACTGAAGATAACGGGAGGAACAACACAATCAGGAGTACTGCTTCGATGCCGACAGAGTGAAATTGCAGTAACATAAGAAGAGTTAAGCTCAGATCGACCAGAATCAGCAAGGAAATGGCTAAGCCCACAGAAGCCTGCTGACCAACTGGTCGAGTGTTCCTGAGGAGGAACGACAGCGGAAACGCTGGGAAATGTCCGTCTTCCAGTGTTTTCACGGACACTGCATCCAGTGTCGCACCGCCAATTCGTCGCCGGGACCCTAGTGAGGAGTAGCTAGGGCTCAGATGCCAGCTTTGGGGTCGTCTTAGTGTGCCCTCCTCAACAGAACCAAAGCTCCCTGTACTCAAACTGGCTGGAGACCGTGGAGGCATGTTGAGCAGTGTGGCAGACTGGAAGCATTGCGGTATATCATCAGCTTCATTAAGAAGTAACCCTAGTTGGTAGTAGCCTGACACTGTAGCTTGACACCAGGCTAAATCGATACGTAACCCGTGTTCGTAAAGCCAGGGATTGGCATGAGACTCGAGCCAGCTGATGACAGGTAAGAGGGTACTGCGTAGAGATCCCTTCCTGACAGTCCGCAGCTGCGCGTTCAATCCGGCTACCAACCTATACCACATTGTTGCTGGCACTGCCTGTGACATAAGATTAGTGAGAAGATTGTCACTGTGAAAATTGTAAGCAGATAGATAACTCCCGTTGCCGCCGAAGATGATCGACATTGGCATCCGCTCGTGTAGTGAAGTCGGTAGTCTCTTCTCATCGCCTCCAAGAAAGACATCTATATATGCCAATACCAGGTCTGGCCCAGCCGACACCTTCAATCCCTCATAAAGGGCTCGAGACCGGCACGAGCGTAAACATGCATGGTCGTATTCAGAGTGCACAAATTCCTGCAATCGCTGTAGCTTTTCCCATCGACGCCATTGCTGCCACGACCACGCGAAGGGGTACGCTACGAGCGTTAAAATGCTGTGCACTGAGCCCTCCCACCATTGGTACGCCGCCAAGCCGTTCACTTCCTCTACGAACCTATTGAAAGCATCCTCATATCTGCAGTGAACCACATTTGCAACATAAGAGAATTGGCAACAAGAGAACTCATGTATGTGCATCGTATCTCGGTTATTGGAAATTGTTGAAGGGAACACAAAACTTACACAAAGTCGACAATCTGGTCCGGAGGAGAGTGCGGCAAATGCCACGGCTCATTGAACGAATTGGACCCCATGAAGTATATTCTGTGGATATGACATTGGGACTCCTCAACGCGAGTGGTTTCAAGCACTTCGTTCAAAGACTCCAGGAATGGAAAAGATTGCTCGACGTGAAGTCCTCGCGGCGTTGCAGTCGTGCGAGAGTAGTCGTCATTGCCAACTAATTTCATGCGCGCCACACTCAACATGAGAGCCAGAATTATCATCACCGAAGTTAAGAACAGAGCAAATAGGTACGGGCCTCCAAGCGTGTAGATTAGCTCCTCCAACATAGTGTGGCAGTGAGGCATCCGATATTTCTCCGAGATACATTGATATGGGCAAGTTGACTCCGAGACACCACCACGAACATATACATGTTTGGCACGATGAGGCAATGGAGGGCACTCTCTGCAGAGCTCACGTGATGAGCCCGTCACATTCTTATATGTTCCAACAGGACATTCCTGTTTCAGATATATAACAAGTCCAATACGCAGCTGTTAGTGATTGAAAACAGTGAAGTTGTGCTACAACAATACACAGAAATGGAAAATAAATTAGAAACTGTGCTAAGCTCGATGAATTCCGTGTCTCACCACGCAATAAAGGCCATAGAGACCGCGTGGACATTGCTTCCCGCTGACCTTGCCGTGATCGCCCTTGAGCCCATCGTTGCTACCTGCTCCTCCACTGCATCACAGACCATTTCCATCGGAAGCAAATCCTATTACTGCACCATGTGCCAACTCTATCAACCAGGACTTTCCACACAAACATACTGCACTCATAACACTATACAATATAGGGATGAGTATTTCGAGCGGAAACATTGGCGCACAAAAATCCTGACCAATTTGATAAAAAATGTCGTGTAGCCTTGAGTGAATACGGTGCAAAAAAAACATGGTGCTTTTTGAGGAGGCGCAATAACTCCGAAAGGTGCACAGTTTAAAATGTAAAAGTTTGGGACCCACCTCGTGTCGACACGACCTTCCGCTATGGTGGCGATGGGCACATAGTCCTCTCCAATGGGAATGTGAGCCCAGTGCAAGTGCACTCGTCCTCCAGCCCCACCGCCACCACCAACTGCACTACCTTTTCCACCAACAGTGGAAAGACGAGACCCGTTCCCTAAAGTAATGGTCTGCAGAAACAGTAAGAGACTTCCTCCGGAGCCACCTCCCGATCCTGCAACTTCAACTCTCACTGGGTCGTTACTTGTGGAGCTGGCTCCGTCGGCAGCCACTACACCATAGACGTCGAGCACAGTAACTGGGTGCTCCATTGATCCCACGACTGGCGCCAGAGCAAATTCAGAAGCCATTAATACAGCCCCGGAATTGGCTAAAACGCAGCCAAAGTACAAAATAAAGACCATTGGTCATATTAAATAGAGTCATCAGAGAACCAGACTAACATATTAGTAGTGGTTCAGGGCTACTAACCAATAAGTCCACCACCTGCAGTGGAGTTGCCGGTGCCAGGATTACCACCACCACTACCAAGTTCACAGGGCAACTCATCACTGCCATAGCTATCACCTCCATTTGATGTTATTCCATCCCGAACTCCTGCACCGCCTTTGCCCCCATGTCCTCCTCCACCTCCTGCGCCCTTGTCCGTTGCGTTCCCTACTCCGAGACCTTCTACGCACCCTGAGGGTGCGCAAATAAGTTAGATCATTTGGCACAAGAAATTGGGGTTTTCAAAGAACTAGTCACTCCACGGGAAAAAAAGACAGTTGTCAAGAAAAGGTAGGTAAAACAAGCCTTGTGGGTGAGCGACACACCTAAGCCAGATGCAGAGAGTACCCCCTCACGGTTGACGGTGACATTCCGAGCCCGCTGTATATGCACTACGGTTCCTGATATCACGCCAAAGATATCTACATCTTCAACTCGACAAATCTGAAGGGTGAATGGTGATGACACATTCAGGGTACAATCCTCGGACGGACTTAGAACCTCCGTGGGACAAAATGACTTCTTACAGTACATATTCGTAATCCTGTGAGGCAATGTGACCGATGCAGTCAGGTCAGTGCACTTTCTTGAAGAAGTCATAAATGGCATGCAAGGAGAAATACTTTGGCCACTCACGTACATCCACAGCTCAAGAGAAATGTTTTAATGTATTCTGTGAACTTACTGATCTTGAATGGGAGAATTTGTATCTAGTGGCGCCCGCAACGTAGCACCTGGTCCGATCTGCACAAGCATCTCTCGTCAGGGTTCTGCTCTTGACAGATACAGAATGGACATCAAAGCACTCATTTCTGCTTCTTGATTCATCTGTTTGAGCTGTGGCAGTGGTAGTAATGCGAGAACTTACGATGACATTGAAGAATAAGGAGACGAACAGACGCTGTGCCATGATAGAATCCCCAGGACCCTGCAACTGCAACAGACCCTGCCCATGGACCCCAAGATTTGCGTTTGATCTGATCGTTGACCCTCCCTGCAAACCGTTTCCGCATCAAGAACGTCAGTTGAGTTACAAACACAACCAGTAACCAGTGTGTATATATATATCATCACCAAGAGCGACGAGAAAGTCAGAAAAACTGAGCAGAACACTCACTCGTATGTACGCTAGATTGCTTGCCTCCACAGCTGAGGCCGCAACGAGCATCTCATCTGAGCTGGCAACAATATCAATCATAGATTTTCTCAATGAGAGCGTATTCGCCGTCAGCCGCAGCGCTCCATAAACCAACAGGGTTGAGTTCTCCATGACAAAGTCATCTGATATCAGCTCCAACTCTGAACTGGAAAATTGGGCGCCAAAACTGACCACACTCTCGGACAACAGTTTCACTGCGCCAGACACCTGCAGTCAGTTCGCAGCGATGTGAGAAACTTGTCACCGCCATTACAGAATTGACACGCCCAATTCAGCGAATAGAGCCTTCAGTTCGAGAATATTACCTGCATTCGACTCCACTGCATAGGAAGTCCAACTCTCGCTGATTCTTTCACAAGGACGCCTCCCCAAAGAGGCCGGACGGGGAAGGTTAAGAGCACCGTATCAGTCTGACTGTCCTTGTTGTTGTTCGAAATTGTCAAAGTCTGTGTCGTCACATCGAACCAAGTGCCTGCGGCTCCAGAATTCTGTGTGCAGCCTAAACTATCACCACCATGATAGAAGATATCAACACCCTGCAATTGAGTGTAATCGATGGCTAAGCGGCCGCCTCCACCACCGCCCCGCCCTATACCTCCGGAAGCAGATATAGCCCCGTCTTTTCCTTCACTGCAATCGCATCAGTCAAAACCTGGCGGCGTAAGTGAAACTGGCTAAAGTGATTTTAAGTGCTCCTAAGGAAGAGTGAACCCTAACCATGGGAGATTGATTTCGAATTGTTAACCATAATCAAACAAATTGCATCCCATGGACAATGCTACGGCGGCATAGCCGACCGCAGCAAAACGGTAAGGGGAAGTAGGATCATTTACATGTTTTGGGCTCTGATGATGATGCTGCCGCCAGAGCCGCCGCCGCCACTTAATCCAACAGACCCGCCGTTGGCCACAATGGCACCATTAATGGACAGTTCACCAGTGGTGATTGCAATGCGACCTCCTCCTGCGCCGCCGAGGTCCCGGGACGTTTCCTCAGTAGTGCCGCCTCGGCTGCCATGACTCCATGGAGCGGAGAGTGTTTCCCACGAGTATATATCACCACCCCCAGTACCGAGTTGGTCATCGGTCTGCTCACAAGAGGCGCCGCGGCCGCCATGGCCACCGCCAGCGCCTTCGAAGTTTGATGGGGTGCCGCTTGTGCCAATCGGCGGGGCTCCACCTAAAGCCGTGCTGTTGATTGAGGACTTGTCGAGTAATGTAAGATTCGCCGCTTGTATTGTCAGGCTACCTCCACTAATTGAAGAATCTGGACCCAAAATAAGATTACCAGATAGTAAGACAACGATCTCGCATCCTGGCGATGCGCATGCAAGGGTGACATGGTGATCAATTTCAAGGGTTCCCGCTCCGACAATGAAGGAACTGGCCCCAAGAGTAATAGAAAATCGCAACCTGCACAAAGTCTCCAGCGAACCCACTCCTCCGAGGTCGGACTCGCAACGGAGTGACTGATTGACTAGCTTCGCATAACACTTCGAGTCGTATCTCGGCTGCGATGGGTCGCAACGAGGGGGCTTTACATTTGGTTTCCAAGGAGGCCTCACATTTGGCTGCCAGGAATTTTCACTCACACTAATGTCAGAGTAGGCGCTCCGCGGTGCTGACTGCTGAATCAGGCCAGGCTCTGAAGTGCTGCAAATTGCAAGTGACGCGAGAATCTCCAGGCAGAGGAAGAACTTTGACCACAATCCTAGCGAAGTAAGGACCTTCATTATGCCCCGTTCTCCTCATAGTCTCCAAGTGTGCCCAATCAGTAACTGATCCTCACAGACCCCATACGTTCTGATTGTCCTAACATTTTCGAAACCTCAAATAATTCACCGAAAGCCGACATCGATTGTCAATGAAGCTCTAATACCCAATGAACATTTTTTTTCACTGGAAATGCCGGGCACAAATCCAAAGAGCTGTAGGTATCTCTCACTAAATCTAGAGATCAGCTCCGGAACAGGTATTCGACAAATTCAGATCTCCGATGTCAACAAGGCAGCAAACTATTGAAATTCCCGCGTGCCTTCCATGTGTAATCCACAAAAAATGTTGTACCAGCGATGCTCAATTGCGGCCTGACAATATTGAAACGCTGACTTGTAATCTGTCAGGGTTGCATAAGAATAAGACACTTAGAACACATCGTTTCTGTACCGAGGCCAACATCCTCAACTGCTCAGGCACAATCCCAGAATCTGACCCTCTGTCACAGAAGTTCTCAATTCCTCTCTCTACGATATTACTTGCTTTAGCCAGAACGGAGGCTAATCCTCTGCCATACAGAGTTGGGGTAGGCGCAAGAGCATTGCAAACTGAAGATTGATGTTCACTGTCTATCCCCTGCCATTTTCAACAATACTATGGTTGCCGACCACCAGCAGGAGTCGCTGTCTGTTATTCGAAAAAGCGGTTGAACTTGCCACACCAAAACTTCGACCAAGTCTAAGTTACACATATTGCATATCGAAGACCAGCCGTACTACTGATCCCGATAAAGATTTCCTGAGACACCGTGCGGGTAGTCTACGGAACCACTTCCAAGACCGTTGCAAGACAGTGAGAAGCTGAAGTCGCCGGCAAACCTCTGTGGACGGCTCTCTCTCTCTCTCTCTCTCTCTTTATTTCTCCATCTCTCTCCCTCTGACGAATCAGTCACGCGCCAAACGTCTCACGCCCTTCTCACCTTACACTCGACGTTCCACCCTACGATGATAGAAACACTGCATGCAGCCTGCCCATACCGTTAACAAACCCAACATGCAACACAATACGCTTTTCTAGTTCTCGACAGAAATTGCGCGGGGAGATTATTCCAAGACATCCCAACTGCATCAAACACAATATCCTTGGACTGTTAAACGGACTTTCAAAACTTGCCAGTATGGAACAGGGCGTGCAACCGACCCAACCCAACCCCCACCCCCACCCCCACCACCCAACGATCGAATCAAGAGGTTTTCCCGTTTGACAGAAATTATACAGTAAACACGCCGCACATGTGCGATGAAATAAATATAGAATGCGCTCCTGGAACGGAGGCGCGGCGATGGGAGGGCCAGTCTGGAACGGCACATCCCCACATTCCCGACAATCGAGCAGCGGGTTCACACCAGATCAGCTGCGTGCAGTCACAATCCCATGAACAGCCTACCTTTTCGTTGCCCTATCACAGTCATCTCCACAAGTCGCCCCTAGAAGACTTCCGAACTCCGAAGTCGCGACTTCAAAGCTACCAGTGCAATGCATGCACCAGTGTCGAATCTTAACGAACCTGATGCTCGAGGGAAACCAGGACATGACCACATTCCTCTCGAATTTCTTGCAAATTAAATGGAAATTCGATAAGCTGACACAAAGACGAACATTGTGGAGTCATCTTCCTCCCATTGAGAAGATTGAGGTAATTTCATTGCCAATGTTATCGGGTATCACCTACAGCAGGTTAGCTACTAGCCTCTCCGAGTGCTGTAACAACTGCATATTTGGGAGATGGAACCCATCTGACTTGATCAAATCCTTGTACAAGTCATTGAATGTCGTGGAGTGTACTGCACCTACACCAGATTATAAAAGGGCAAGGTACCGTTGATGGGAAGATGGGGAAGCGCCGGCCAGACGTTGCACATTTCTGATGCCCTTGTCAGTGAGATGGATAGAGGGTAATTTTTGCACCCCCCCCCCCCAGGTCAGCAGCCCCTTCACGATTTTCTCTCTCCCCGCTTTTAATTTCGCGCGCTCTGTCATGATCTGGCTCCTAACGTGACGACGCCGCAGTTACGATCTGTCTTTGAAACGACATGTGCAACCGACGAGTACCCGAAGATTGCTGCAGAATCACTCCCGGCGGGAAGTGTCGCAGCGTGCAGAAATCGACACCGATTTTACCATTTCTGCTCCATTCATACAGAGCAGGACGAGTGGGGCTCAAAAGCGGGGACGTGGAGCTAGGGAAACGGTACGCATTAATAAGCGATTTTCGTTTCGTTGATCCGAGCTCCAGCTAGATTTTTGGCTAAATGCGACGATGCTCATCTTTCTGCCCTATCTGGAGTTTTGTTTATAAATAGTACCGCCAGGAGGAAGGAGGAGCCCAGCAACAAAGATACACCCAGCGGCACATTAGTAGGATGCATATGTGGGGCTTGCTAGTGGGGGGGGGAGGTTCGCAGATCCACAGCAGTGGCATTCCCGTTTCGACCTCTGCATCATTGATGGCTCCCTCCCCTCCCCTGTTCTTGCACCACTCTCGCCATCGCCTACTCCTTCGTTTTCCAAGTCCTGCACTTCCTTCGCCTCCCTCGTCTTATCATTCCAAACATCTCGCTGCCTCTGGCTGTCGATTTCACAATTGCTTCGACCCTTCGATGCATTGCGCCGCGAGATTGTGGACCCTGGGGTTGCCGAAAGTTTACGCGAGCCTGTCCACACCTTCATTTGCCGCTCTCCAACCACTGGATGGATGGGTGGATGGATAGATGTGGTTCTGAATGAATGATGTATATGTTCGATGTATGTTGATGAATTATTGCGTCAATGGATTACTTTCGTGGGTTGTAGATGGATGGATGGGTTTAGGGGAGGGTTGACGGATAGAATATGAGATGGATAACTTGATCGCGGGATGGACGATTTTAAATTTTTATCATTATAATTAATACTTTTTACTATTATAATAAATTTATAAACCAATCTACACTTTTTATTGTTATTAACCTTTAAGTGTATGTATTGCATGTCTTCTGCATACAATGTCTGTGATTTGAGTTTTATTTTTATTTTTATTTATTTATAATGTTAAAAGGTAAAAAATAGAGAGAGGAAATATGCTCTATCTGAAAGTTCCCATATCCATCTCAACTGACATATGGATTGAGATCTACATACATAACATTCAATAGCTCATGCATAAATGGTCCTTCACATCACTTAATTCAATGTATATACATACAGAGAGAGAGAGAGATTCTTCTATCCACAGAACAGAGTGACTATGTGCAAAATTCATTAAGTTTATATTATTAATACTATTATTATTTTCAGCTTTCAGTGTACTTCATGATGTAAAAAATGGGTGAATATCAAGTATAGTTAAACTGCAAACTCATCATAGTTTGTGAATTCCTAGTAATGGATGTACAACTTTGAAAAGTGGTCCAGAAATACCACTCTACCACTTTAATATATGAGAACCCATATATATATATATATATATATGCATTTAAAAACAAAATTCATTGCTATACTATTCAACCTTAAAAGTCAAGCAGTTTTGTGTAATTTTTACCAGTGTCACAAAGTCTATAAAACATATTTAATGTTTTAAGGTTGCAGTCATGCCACACATAATTGGATCTTTTATTTTTATATCTTTTCCTACATAGCTCTCCACAGCTAAGTGTGTATTTGAATGTGTATGTATATAATGATAAAGAGAAACAACAAATTTAAATTTTTGTGACCACAATCAATTAATTTGTAGTGAACAGTTGATTTTGGATAGTCGCGTGTGTTTAATGCCAATTATAAAACGAGATAAACAAAAAATTACAATTGAGAATTATTTATTAATGAATTTTATTACAATTATTTTGTATCAATTGATAAATGCTGGATATGTCAATTTAAAACAATATTCATCAAAAAATTAAATTCAAATTTTTAAAACTATTCTGTGAGGGTGTTAATAGATTTATGTATATATATATATATATACACACACAACTGGTTGAAGCATTGTCAGCAACATAAATGTAATGATTAACATACCATACCATGATATTTTAGTCTAATTATCTATCATAGAAAGAAACTGAAAGAGTCAACCAGTTTTTCTTTGAGAAGATACATAGGATAAAATTTTTTTGTCACCCTCAATGAACAATGAGAAGTTAAAGGTTTAAAAAAAACCTTCTTCAATCAATCTACAAATTGCAAACATGTCAAATGAAAGTATTCTGAAGAGTACTAAACATTTTAAGTGACTACAAAACTTGAAGTGTCCTGCTACAATGTTGTACTTCATTCCTGCAATGCTTAAAATTTCACACTGAAAACAGCTTTTCCCATAAAATACTTGTAATATTTTCATTTAAGATAGGCAATTATCACTCTAAGCTTCTTTACATTTTTTTAAATTCTTGGTACATTCTTTAAAAAGGTAAAATGTAACTCTTTACTGTTGAAATGATTCAATTTATAGACACAATAATTAATAACCAAAAATAATAAAATAAAATATATAATTATATGTTTATTATTTTACAGTAATTAAGAATAAATGGATGCCGTGATAATTATAGCTTACAAATTTACATGTTAAAGTAATACTTTTACTATAAATATATTGTAGTTTTCAGTCATTGTGTGAGTGAAATATATAAATACAAATTATGACATTTCATGTATCATGAATGAATGACTTATTATTTTTTTAACATATATGTACACAATCAAATCATTGATCATAATGTATTTGGGAACATCTTCCTTGATGATAATAAGATGGATAGTTAATCTTGATATGATCTTTGCATAACCCACAATCCTTCAAGACATTCAACTCAATTCTCATTTGCAAAATGAAAATTATCAGGGTTGAATGCATTCTATTGGTAATGAGAGCACAAGAAACCAAAATGAAACCTATGCGAATAACTTATGTTTATTTTTTCCCTAATGTATGTATTTAATAAATTAGAAATTTATTGTTTAACAAAATCTCAATGACTGTGGTATGAAGTAATAAACTGAATGAATTATTTTTGTTACATGGAACTCAATTTACATATAATAATATTGATAATAAGAAAACTACCCAGCTTAATGATTTGTAATATTAAAAGATGGCATAAAAAAATGATTGAATTAAGTTGGTAAATGTGTAAATATAAGTATATATATGTGTGTGTGTTTAACTCTGAAAAAAGATATTGCTTACACTCAATATTAGATGATGAAATTGCTTCAGATGATGAAATTCTAAGTTGATTCGTATTTAATTTTTTTCAAGACCACAATATAAATGGATTGGTATGTATGACAAAAACATTGTAATCAAAATACATAGCTTGTCTCAATCAAGTGGGAAAACAAAGTGGATGTTCCAGAAAACATTTGTGTGTTTTGAATTGGGATGTAGAACATTCAGAATAATTTTGTAAATGTGTCAAGTGGGCAATCAAAAAAAAGAACAAGGAAATATTGTGTTGTTTTATTTACCTACAATAAAACAACAGGATATTTCATCCTCATCTTTGCAACACAATCTTCACCATCACATTAGATATTATCAAGCTCATACACATTATGAACAATAACTAATGAAGAAAAAAGTATATCCTTACACGAGGCCTAATACGACCAAAGTGAAAGATTGCCACACTCCGAAACAATCGGATAAAGCAAAAGTTCAAAAGGTGGGTAAGTGGGGGTATCAAAGTTCCGAATTTAAGAAGGCAAGAACTAATGGCACCCATACCCGCACCATTTATGGGATAGACACCAATTGGTCAGGAGAACGAAAACCATCCAACAGATTGCGGAACTGCACGACATTCATCCAATACAGGTGTCGTTCACCAAGGGTGCAGAGATTAGGGCATAATATGGCGGGTAATTCCCGCCATCCCTTGAGAGGATCAGGGAGCCCTCAAACCGCTCAAACACACGCTTCCAGAACTTCTGTTTCGCTTTACCAAGTGGCAACTTCTGGTTCGACCATAACCTGAGCATACTTCAATCGTCGAGTTTGATGCATGAACCTATTTTCTGCGACACGATTTTTTTGGTTATCATTATTATTACTGCTACTTATGTTTATTCACTGTGTACTTGATGTTCAGTACTTAACTCACCACATGTGTTGAAACGCTTTTTTGGTAAGTTATTATTTGTAGGGTGAAAATAAATTACACTAGAGAATCTCATCTAGTATGCAATGCATTCTTCGGTTCAAGCTTCCCTCAGTCATCTTACTTCCCAAATCATGTAAAATATAATCATCGATCCAATTTGAACGAGTAAAAAGAATCTGTGATTGGTGTTACAGACGCATTGGAACCAGAAACTGTATTCATTAATTTTGAAATCATCCTTGGTTGGATCCTGTGATGCATACCCGTTGTTTGGTGTTGCAAGTTGTTTTCTTCGTATTTTAATCTAAAACACATATTAATGAATCCAAAGATCAGAAATGGGATTTTTTGAAAAGCTGTTTATGGGTTATTACCCTAACGTTATAACTATTTTATAATCATGTTTGATTCATTACTGAGTAATTCAAGGTGGTTTATAATCAGTGTTCGAAAGGGTACATGTTGCATGTCAAATTTGGAGAATTTTCAACGTAGGGACGTGCATAATGAATTGGTTACATACGAACACGTGTCAAGTAACTTTTTTATTGGTCATGGATATTTTTTTCTTTGGATTTTAATCTTATTTAAGTGCAAGCTTCATGTCACGGATGAATGTTGTTTGATTAATCATCCAACACGTGCCTTACCTCTTCGCCACTTGTCACGACATCCATAATCCTTAGCACTTGCGAAAATGATAAAGCTTCAGGCGGAGGGACAATTTTCTTTTTGTGTCCTTTAAGACAAAAAAGTAAGGCAGTGGAAAAGAAGAAAGCGCAGGAGACAAATATATGACAAGTTGAGCTTTATTGCATAATACAAAAAGAAAAAGAAAAAGGAAAAAAAAAAAAAAAAAAAAAAACCAACGGTAGAGATAGGGACTTAGAAACAATAAGACAACATCCAACACTCTCCTTCGTCACAATTTTATTAAGGATGTCATAAATAAAAGATATGTCTGAAATTTCAAAGATGTAGTTACTATGTTTGCTATCTTGTAAAAAAACATAAAATATAAAATTCACAATTATTGGTTTAAAATGTATAAACTTTTAATATTTTTATTGAGTCGATAATACCTACTTTACAAACATTATAAAAGCTTCTTATGATACCATTAAGTGACTTAAGCTTGAAGAGTTAACAAACGAAAATTATATAAATGCCTTGGAAATGCAAATTACTACCATAGTGGTTCAAAAATAAAGATACATGGAATTCTTTAATTTGCCTCAATCCATAGAAATTATAGTAATTATTTTTAATACAAAAATGTATGGAATACACATTCATATCCCTTATAAGTTATCACATGAAAAATTAATTGGTTTTATTTGTAACAAAAATCTTTAGAGATGATTATAAATCACATTATAATGCAGCACCAATATCATCTAAAGTAAGCACAATACTGATTTGGAATGAGGTACAGTTTGGGGTACAGCACAAGACTGTTCTGGAATGAGGCACAAGACTGAAGGAAAATCACTTTTGTGTCATCCAAACTCCATCAATGCAACTAACATAGAAATACCTTAAACTATGTCACATTCTTCAGTTGACAACTAGCAGTAGAGAAAAATTGTGCCACCAAGTCTTATAAGTGTAGAATGCGATGTTATCATACAAAAATTATGATAGAGAAGGTAAAGTATTAGATCACATATATAGCACATAGTGACGTTGGGATGGTGGTATTTATAAATATGATCTCAAGTGGTTGGCAATTGCATTTTTCATGGATTCAATGGTTTTTTTTTTTTTTTTTTTTTTTTTTTCTTTATACATTCAAATATAAATCTTTTGACGCCTTTGATGTAATTAGATTCAATTTACTCCAAAATACTAATATGGAATTAAAGAGTGTATGTAG